GGTTTGATGAAATCTAGCTTATTTTGTGTTTGCGTGTCCCATGTGCTCTGCCAATTAGTTTTCAGCTTTCATTTTAGAATGGGTTTTAAATCTAGCGCCGAGTCAGCTATGAATGTTTCAGCAGCGTTTTCGCAGGCGGTTGCAGCTAGCTGATCTGCTAACACGTTGCCTTCAATCTCGCGATGCCCCGGCATCCAGCATATTACAATATGCTGTTTATATGTACACTCATACCTTGTTATAATGTAACAAGATATAACAGAATAATGATTATAACGAAGTAAATAAAGTTCCCCTTGAAAGCTCCATTGAGAATCATGCATTTTAAACCTCGTTGTAACGAAGTAAAATTGACCGGTAAATGGATATAACAAACTAAATTAGTCAATCAAATAGGCTATCAAAAAGAAAAACGGCCTTAGTGTGTTAAGTATATCATTTTCTGCAAAGTTTGACACGCGTTCGGCGCGGCTTTTTCAAAACTACCGCGCCGACCTTACAGCTACGCCACACACGGCCAAGAGCCGTCCTCCTCACACAGCCAGCGGAGTGGATTGCGGAAGCGCTCAGCGGGTCACATGGCTGAGCAGCGCCGCGGTGCAAAGCGATTTCCCTCTCAGGACGGCAAAGACTGCGTCTCCGCTGCTACCCTCTGCACAGAGAAAGGAGGACTCTCTGCGACCGCTTTTCGTCTTTTTTTTTCCCCTCTCTCTCTCCACGCACGGCCTTGAAAGGAGAAGGGTCTCTACGTGCAGAGACGGAAACGGAAGAAGCGTGGCACAAAAATATTGGCATTTGAGAGAGAGCAAACAATCCGCCACAGTCCTTTCTTTCCTTTTTCGTGCGCAGCGTTGAGAGGTGCGCCGCGGGATTGGGCATTTTGCTGGGAGTATTTTCGGAGCGCGGTATGTTCGAATTCACCGTCGCAAGTGCTTGCGTGTTCGAATTACAGGGGGTTTTCGCCCATTGGAATACACATAGCCTTGACGGGACCTCAGCACGAGTTTTTTTTTATTTATTTATTTATTTATTGATACTGCGATCTTTTACAAGATCATAGCAGGGGTGGTACAAAAGCATAAACATCAGTAGAAACAGGCAAACAAACAATCAAAAACAAATGTAATACAAACTTGTGTAACTGATAGCTGCAGTGATTCTTCGAGACAAGAGAATATACAATGTATATTTGTGCTGGAGTTCGAATTAACCGGAAGTTCTAATTAAGCATGTTCAAACTGTCAGCGATGTCCGAATGAATGTAGTCAAGGCAAGGTTCAAATTTTAAGAAAAACTGTATTGTGCTATGTTACAGGTGAATCGGCAGTGGTTACATGTATAAGGAAACTGGACTCGGTGCAGGGGCTTGATCGGATACGTCCGACGCCACTCGCGTCTCGGCTCGCTCTGCGGTGCGTTGCTCTGCGGTCCCGGCTCGAATCTCGGCTCGTTCTCCCTCTCTGGCGATGCGTTGCTATGCGGTCTCGCTCGAAGGCTCACTTTTTGTTTTTTGAATGTTCGTTGAACCAATGGGCAACCGCGTCGAGTGGACGCGCTCAGGGCTCGGAGTCCACGTTAACGCAGTGCAGCGTTTCCCGAGCAAGCACGGAGACGCTCCCGGAGAAGGAGGCGCTGCCGGAGAATGAAACGCTGCCGGAGAATTCAGCTGTGCGAACTCGAGTGCCGCTGACAAAACTAATGAGGTTCGACTGTGTTTATTTTCTGTCGCACGCGTGGTCGCGTAGCGGTACATTGAGCCGCGAGACGGTTTCCTTCTTTGGATGCTTATAGGTGTGCGCTCATCTAAGCAAACATTGCCACAAACTGTTATAACTGATATATGGAAATAAGGGATATAACGAAAGAATTGTGGCTCCCCTTCAACTACGTTATAACAAAGTGAGTATATGAAGTATGCATAGCAGTTAGCAAGGTGAGACGATTGCAATGTTTTTGTGCGGTTCAAGAGTTTTCAAAGCTTTTACGACGCTTAAGGAGTCTGTATAAACAACAGTGTGGTATTAGCTTACTTCTTTAATGCGTTTAACTGCCGCCAAGATTGCATACGCCTCCGCTGTAAAAATGCTTGGGTTCGGGTGGAGGGCACCAGTAGTCGAAAAGGACGGACCGACTGCGGCATAGGATACACTGGCGTGAGACTTCGTTGCATCTGTGGAGAATTCGCGGCAGTTATATTTGTATATTTGTGCTGGAGAAGTACGTGTTGGCATTTCTCATTTCGTGTCCAGTTTCTTTTCTCATTAGTGTAGAGTTTTCTCGGTTGTGATGGCGTATACCTCCACCGCTTTTTCTCTCCACGCCCGGGGATCCGCGGATCCCTTGGGCTGATGAGAAGTTCATTTTTGAAGCATACATGGACGCACGCAAGCCAGAGCAGCAGAGGGCCCTGCTGCTTAATGCGTTGGGCCATGCCGACCTGAAACTATCAGATGCCGAGTTCCATCAACGCGTCAGGGACGCCTGCGTCGTCTGACGTATTCCAAGTCGAAGTCGCATTGTTCGATGACCATTACAAAGATGCATCCTGCGGTCATGTCGCGTGCCTCCGCCCATTGTAGACACTTCATAAGCGAGTCTCCAGTCACTATCCCTGTCCTGTGGGTTCGGTGCGCTCAAAAATGACATGATCAGGCATCAACTGTTTAGTGGTGTTGCACCCGTAAATGTTTGTTGCTGGCTACTTCAAATAGGTTCGTCCGTTACCCTCTCAAAAGTTCTTTCGATTGCACGAGAGGGTGGACTTGTGCGCTTGCGGTTAGAGCATTTCACTCTGCTTTTGGTGCAGCAAATTTCAGCTGCGGGGCCTCATGGCGCCCATTCGTTTGGGGGGTGACGCCAACATGGCGGCCCTTCTTAGTTTCGTCGGGAAGGCCAAGATAGCTCCCCTTCTTCTCAGCTTTAAAGCGGCGCGCAACATGGCCGCCTCTTCACTTCACGGGGGCAAAGAAGCCGCCAAAATGGCGCATCCGTGTGTTTAACGTCACCTTTTCAAGGCCAACAGCGAGCTTCTAGCTCAATGAAACCTTCTTCTGCACAGTCCCCGCCCGCTTTTTGTTTCCGTTGTGGAACAGTTCGCCACTTAGCGAATTTCGCTCAGTGTCTGACTCGGAACCGAACTTGTCTCGCGTGAGGTAAATGCGGACATTATCAAGCCGTGTGCAGTTCTGCTCCACTTCAAGATGTAGTCTCTTCACCTACTTCGAGTAACGACCAAGCAAATACGGTCACCATTTTCAATGTGGCTGGTTGCCACACAATGTCTGAGCCTTCTCCTGCTCCGTCGCCCAATAAATAACATTCAATGTTCACTCGTGAACTGGGTTGTGTGCGTGCACGACTTTGTGAATGAAGTGGTGCATCCACCTGATGTGTGTCCAGTTCCTGCTTAGCTTCAATACCTTCCTCTATTGCTCCGTGAGGAACTTTCTGCATAACTGCGTCGTGCTCCCGATTCGCCTGCTCTTGACCATACTTCAGTTGAGCCAATGACCCAAGTTCCGGCTGTGCTTCCTACGAGTGGTGAGGACTTCCTGGAGACTGTTGCTGTTCTACATTCATCAAAAGTGCATCAGCCGAGCATGCCCGCTGGGCCTCCAGAGGCAGTCCCTACTCTGTGTGCTTCAGACGTGCTTCCGCCGGTCGCGTTTGCGCCTAGTGACTCGATGTTCGCTCCTCCGCTCAGAGTAAAAGACATCTGCGTCGTCTGCCACTGCGGCCGCCATCATCACTGCCGCTCTATACTGGTTTCACTCTGGCTGGAAGTGGTTCACTAGCTCAACGCGAATGGTTGTAGCACTGAGGAACGCAACATCCAGGCATACCAGGCTCAAGAAAGCGGCACGTGAGCCCTACAGCTGGGTGAAGACGCTACAGGCACTACCACGGCCGCTGGATAAAAAACAAGGTGGGGCCTGTTATGTTGTGTCGCTGTCAATGGGTGAGCGTGTTTGGGCAGATTTGACAGTTTTGACCACTTTTTTGGGAGGGTGTTGACACTCCATCAGTCGAGGCAGATGGCACTGCGTGTTTCAATGTGGTTGTGCGAGGATTTGTGCATGTCTGTGTGCTTTCTAGTGCTTATTTTGTGTGCGAGCGTGTGTGGGGGCAGTTTGCCTCATGCATACCTGCCAAGTTCAAGGATTCTGAATTCGGGAGATTTCTGTAACGGCGAGGGAGGGAGAGTCTCACCGAATTATTGTCCTCGAGTTTTTTGGCACCAAAAGGAAACAGAAAAACACCCTGAAAAATAAGAGTGGGGTGGGAGAAGGGGTGTCCCAATCGCAAGCGCAAACATCGGTGCTACGGTCTTGTTATAATGGCTTGGAGTGGCAGAACGCACGATGGTAGGTTTTTCCACGAAAGCGGGTCTCAAAGGGAGAGCACAAATACTCCCAAAATTTCAATTCATCCAAACAACAAGCAAAATCTATTTTTGTCAAAACAACTCGCGTATGTTTTCCTAGAACAGTAAACGAACAGGACGGTGTAGCTGGCTGCCGCGACAGCGCAGGTCAAAGCTTCGCTCGCTGCTAGATCCTTTGGACAGGACATACACATTTCGTGGGAATCGATCCAGCAGGCTAGTTCTGCTACAAAATTTTGTGTCAGCAGCTTTTAATATTTCCTGTATTTGTAAGCGTGTCAACCTCCTCCTCAATGCAAGTTTTGCTGTTTCTCATACTCCTGCTCCTACCTTTTCTGAGTTTCCAGAAATGCATGGTGCTGGTTCCATGCAGATGCTACTTATATACTCAATCCTTTTGTGATGGGCACATTACATAAACGACCTGCTAAATTTACAGCATCACAAATAAAGCACTGTGAAATGTGTGACAATCTTAATTAAAAAAAAAATTCATGATCATCAAGGCTTTGCAAAAATTTCAGCATTTTTAAGGATGTCAAGGACCCGCATGAACCCTCCTTACACAGGGGTGTAACATAAGAATATAAAGTGTATGATGCCATGGTCTGCTCACCTGAAATTTACCAGCGTCAAGAGTGGCACTCATAACAACAATTTTCAGGTCTGGTCGCTGGGTGACAACTTGCTTTAGGACTCCCATGAGGATGTCTGTAGCTAAAGTGCGTTCGTGAGCTTCATCCAAGAGCACAACACCATAGGCTTCTAGCAGTGGGTCACTCATCGCTTCTCTCAGAAGCATACCATCGGTCATGTACTTCAACAATGTCTTCGGAGAAGAGCAGTCCTCAAAACGAATACTATAACCAACTTCCTGGCCGATAGCCACATCCATTTCCTCTGCCACTCGTGCAGCAACACTCATGGCTGCTACTCTTCTTGGCTGTGTGCATGCAACACCGCGGCGACCTCCTTTCTGGCGCAGAAGCTCCACACACCACTGTGGAATCTGCAAGAAAAAATTTAGTTATTACCAATGACATCAAATATGAAACCCCTATGACTCCGATTACAGCTCTAAATATACTCGCACTCAATGGTGCACCAAAGTTACACAGCAGTGAGACCAGCAGACATGAGAACAACATTGTGAGAGATATCACATTTCATGATGCGTATTTATTCGAATCTAGGCCAATAAATTTTTCAAATTTCTTGTTATCAAACTGTAGGGTCGGCTTAGATTTAAAAATTTTGACAACCGCATAATTCTTTAATGAGAAATTTGCACAACTAGCGCCACCTAGATGATACTGTAGCCATTATCAGTGGAGCCAACATCTGGTCTAAGTATACACGTGAGGCCGCCATTTTGACCTTTGTGGCGAGTGTCGAGGCAAGCCATTTGTCATTTCAAGTAGCACTTGGAGTGCTCTGTGTGTGGCAAGCTCAATGGCGCCTAACAGGCAGTGTCATTATAGTGCCACTTATAAAAGGAAAGGTGTCCTAGCCGCGGAGTCGTCGTACAACGTTCAAGCTCAGCAGGACTTGGACTTGGAAGGGACGAAAAAAATGTGCGTTGCTAGAGGGGCTGCAGCGTAGGATGACAAACCGCGAACTTTAATTGTGTGCTTTTTTATGAAGTGCGGCAATCCAATGAGCTTAATGGCACGGATGATTGCGCACTGTTTGAAGACGGCGACAAGAATTCAGCAACGAGGATTCAGAATGAGCCCGGCATCTTTATAAGCAGCGCGAAAAAAACAGGTACACGCAGAACAGGACTAGTGGCTGTGTTTTTCGAGTTATTTGCATTGCGAACCAACCGCTTTGTTTCATCTTTATGTATGTTGAATAAATGTAATCTCTTTGTAGACGCTGCCTTCGAAGTTTCATTCGGCCACAGCAAGCCGCTGTGGTGGTGGTGGAAGCGCTAACTATTCTATTGTCCGTGCATTCTGGTGGCCTAAGCAATTTTGCCAGGTGATAACTAGCACCACCTAGCCACTTTCCCCTCATTCACTATTATCATGATCATATTCTGTTGCAGTTCATTTGCAGTCCAAAAATATGAATCTGCCGTCGCTTACAGCACGCAGTGCTTGAGCCTCCAAGCCATCGGGGTAGCGCGTTCTAAAGCATGGAGTCCCGATAGCCTTCTCTGGAGTAGTCCAAGTTAACTAGTGCATGGCTAAAATTTCCTGGATTAACGAGCACTTGCATACCTGCCAAGTTCAAGGATGCTGAGTACTGAATATTCTCGCAACGGGGAAGGGTTATTCCCACCCACTTTTTTTTTTTGCACCAAAACAAAACATAGCGAAAAAAAAAGGGGGGGGTGGTGGAGGGCTCTGTGAACATTGGTGTTGCGGTCTTATAATGACTTGGAGTGGCAAAAACACGAGTGTAGGTTTTCCCAACTACAAAGCGAGATGCGAGTCTCGGGGGGGGCAAAACTACTCGTATAAGAACAGCTAGCAAAATCTATTTCTGCAAAAGACCTCGTGTATGTTTTCCTGAAACACACATGAATAGACGGGACTGTGCGGGTCAACAGTTTGCTTGAGACCAACAGTAAACTGAATGCCAAAGTAAAGCCAATGTACACACATCGACAGAAACAATGTACACCATATTTACTCGTGTAATGAAACCAGTTTTTTTTTCTCGACAAATCGGAGCAGAGTTGGGGGTGCATTTATTACGCGAGATAAATTTTATGAAAACCCTTTTGGGAGGGTGAATAATGCGGTAATGCGAAAAAAAAAAGTTACGTCACTTATCTTTGCGCAATTGACAAACGTGTGCACTGTTTGGGAACAGCTTCTTTGTTGCACTTTAATCTTCGGTGGTTGCATGAGGGCGCCATCTTCTGCAAGCTGTCCCCGGGCCGCCCGTGCACCCCATAAAAGTGTTTTGCAGCTATTTTTTCTCGTAATCGTTTAACCGAACAGGGGTATCTGCTGTGATTCTACTGCTGTGAGTAGTTCCGTTCTCAATCCGCATGAGCTGGCTGCACATTTGCTTCAAAATTAAGTCGTTTTTTGCTATTTACGATATCATCTTCCACAGTTTTGTCCGCAGCGTCTGAAGGTCTCTGACTGGTCGAGCCTCGGACACGCACACACTTTCAGAGTTCTGTCAGTTACGATGTCGCCATATATGACCATGTCAAGAGCGATGCTGTTTTGTCTACAGCAGCTGTGGCAACCAATAACCACAGTTCTGATAGTGCATGCGCTGGCCGCGCGCATCCTCCCGAAGCTTCGAGCCCGCTGATCTCGGTTTCCATATTCAATGGTTTCGGTTTTAAAGTTTATAAAACGCACTGCGATGAGGAAAAGTGTTCAGAACATCTCAATTTTGGCCCAATGAACATAGTCGAATTTGGCTGGGGAATTTCACGGATTCATATCTGCTGGTTTTGCATCACTGAGATTCTACTGTACGTTTAGATGAACGCCTCCTAACATTCATTTATCATAAAATGCAATGGGTTCACAGAAAGCCTGCCTGCGTCAGATTGAGCTACATTTTTGTCAATGCCGCCAGATCACACAGAGAAATTTCGATTGCCGGGAGATTTTCCAGACTACCGTACAAACGCAAAAACTGGTCGAAATCCAGGATACTTGCAGGTATGCATTTCACACAACTGAAGTACCGTATTTACTCGCATAATCCTCGCACCTTTTTTTTCGCGAAAGACAATTAAAAGTTGAAAGGTGCAAGAGTTACACGGGGTAAACTTTCTGCGAAAACGCACAGAGCCATAAGAAAAATAAGGAAAAAAACAGAGCTGCGGCAAATCGGGGTTCTCACACCAGTATGGGAAGTACTAATTCAGACTTACCTTAACAATAACACCACGGGTTCAACACAAAGCAAGATTTATTTGCAGCACTAAACCCACTAGCAAGTAAAGTTTCTTGGATGCAAATGAAGTCTCCTGGCCGAACTACTCGGAGTCAGAGTCAAAACTGGAGTCTCTGATAGCCACCTCATGCGAGTCACCGCCAGCTTCAACATAGTCTCCATCACCACTGTTGCGCACCATGTGGTCATTCGTCCCGTCTAAGCGATTAGAAATCCTAGTTGTTTTGAAACTGTGGACTATGATTTCTGGGGAAAGCCGGGAAATCATGGACCGTGCCTCCGTAACCCACGTGCGATGGAGCTACACTGACGGTTTCCTTATTTTGCCTCCAGGAGTGATCGCATGGTTGCCTTCGGCCATCCATTCTGCATACAGCCTCCGAACATTACCCTTGAACGGTTTGTTTCTAGGAAACGTCATGAGGCTGCAGCATCGATGTCAGGCCACCAAGAATAATGGCCAAATGAGTCCGCAGCTCCTCCAGCTTCATCCGAACAGAGTCGACGAGATGACTGAGGAAGCTGTCGACGACCAGCAGCAACGGGTACGGACCCAAAGTACGCCTGGGCGGCGTCCCCAAGCGGTTTTCGCCCAGCCAACGTCTTTCTTTTAAAAATTACAAAAGATGGCAGCTTCCGCCCGCCTGCTAAAACAGCGAGCATGACTGTGCGCCGCTGCTTTTCTGTACCTGTTGTCCAGATGTGCACACTCCGCCAACGCCTCCTTTATTAAGATGATTGACGAATGGTTCATGTTGCCAGCTGAGTCGCCCTGCCTGGCGCGTCAGTCGGGAGTTATAGAAATGTGCACTTATGCACGACCATTTTTGGAGGCTATGCTAAATATACAGCTGATGCACCGTCTGCCACAAGGGGCGCTAGTGACCGACAATGCTCCAAAATGAAGGAGGGAAAAGGTGTGGCAGCTGTTTTAATTCTAGAAATGTACTGAAGCGCAACTAACGAGACAATACTATCGTTGACGCTTTTATTTATTTATTTTTATTTGAACATACTGCAGACTTTTCACAGCCCATGCAGGAGTGGAGACAACATACATACTAAGCATCGAAAGAAAATACATACCGGAAGAACAAGAAAGAAGATATAATGTCAAACAGCTCATAATTCAAAATGGACACAATGTATTATGTTCATAAATGATTGAATAGTGTTACAGCACACAATATTGTTGTCTAGTCTATTCCAATGGTGGATAGCTGACGGGAAAAGGGAATGTTTGTGAGCGTTAACACGACTGAAAGGTTGGTGGATAGTTTTGAAATGGTTCAGTCGCGATGAGTGTTTGGGCGGGTCTAGCAGGTAATGAGATCGAGATATGTGGAATTGACCATGATATAATAGGTAAAGAAATTTTAGTCGCGAGATAATTCTGCGATACGAAAGAGGTTTTAAGTTTGCCCTTGCAACCAAGCCTGCAGAACTGGATGGCCTCGAGAAGTCTGAATATACAAATCTAACTGCCAATTTTTGAATTCATGCTTTGAAAAAATACTCAGCTTGAGTTTCTTTCAATATACATGACTAAATTAAAAGCTATAAAGAATACATTTCTGTGCACCACCAACGCCCGGCATAGGAAATACTACGTTAGAAAAATATCTAGATTGCTCACGCATCGCTAAGTTCTGTGGACAGAGGGAGTTAGTTGCTTGTGTGCGAGCGCTTATCCTTCGGTGGGGAGAATCGTGTGCTTTGGCCTTTCACCGGAACGATTGCGTTAGTTGCCTGTGCCACAAAGGTCACTTCACTCACTGGGCAGGCCCCGTTTGTGAAAAGAGCGTGCATTTCAAACACAGCGAAGTAACAACTAGGACACTCGTTAGTTCGCACTGACATCTGCACCTGTGATTACATTTCGTGCGTCGTTTTTGTTTAAACAGCGCGTTAAGGGTCGAGCTGTAAACGTTGTTAGTTTGCTCTCGTCTTTTGTATATTGTTTTCGTGCGCCATTTTTGCCTGAGCAGTGCGCAGCACGTTTCGGTCTGCTAGCCGTTCTCAGCGTTACATTCCAAGTTGTTGCTATCTCATTCATTGCTTCGCCCTTGCAGCTAAACTGTGAATTTTTTAATTTACAAAACAGCAACTGAAGATGATGATGATATGTGGGGTTTAACGTCCCAAAACCACCATACGATTGTGAGAGACGCCATAGTGGAGGGCTCCGGAAATTTCGACCACCTAGCGTTCTTTAACTACACCCAAATCAGTGCACGATGTTACAAAACAAGAAACACTGCCACCCTAACTGGAGGTAGTACTGCACTTCAGGTTGTCCCCTTCCTTTCATGCAATTTTAGACCACAAGTATTTTGTTTTTGTGGTGCGAGACAATTTTCGATCTTGCTCATTCAACAAAACAAATAGAAAGCAAGTGGTCGGGTTAGTTACACACGATAGCATTGGCGTCGCTCCCCTTTGGGCAATACCCAAGGTTCTGATGATAAGCCATAGGGGCAGGAGAGAAGATGGCTGCTAAACCCGCATTAAAACAGCATGTTTGGCTCGCAATTCTCTCAGTATAACATGTGATGTATGGGCACAGTGAAGTAAACTTTACAGGCGTGGCATCAAATCATCGCCACTGAACCTCATGTTCAAAACCTTTTTTTTTTTTTGTTTTGCTGAAGTAAGTTTTCTCTTACTGCTCTATTATTGTATTTACTCACATAATTTCAGCACTTTCACAATTCTGGGGCTTCGAAAAGAGGATGTGCAAATTATGCGAGGATTTCGCAAACGCATACAAAATGTGCAACAGTCTTAATGTGCGAAGTATATACATTCAAGAAAATAAAGTAAATTGGAGCACAAGCAAAGTGTACTTGTTTATTTACCTGAATTGGCATGTACTTTAACCCATCAGATCCGGAATCGCTGATCGAGAGGTCCGATTGAGAATCATCGTCACAACAGCTGCCAGTGCCCTCCCAAAGCGCATCACCATCGGTTCTGTCTAGCGTGTTCAAATGTCCCATTTTCTTGAAGCTATTCTAGACAATGCTGAGAGAAACTAGGTCCCCCGACACGGCAATACCGGAGGACCTAAACGTTCGCACATAATTGAAAAGTCCTTCTTCAATGGCAGTAAACTTGTATCAGCAAGCGAGCCCTCTCTTTCTTCCATACCGATTACGCTGACCGTCATACGTAGGAGAACTTCACACTGAAGTGCTTGGTGGTGGCATTATTCCCATTTTCTTTGACAAACTTCCCAACTGCGATCTTCGATTTTGCCATATATATAATTACTGTAGCCTATCACAAGAGAACAGTAAAAATGCGAAGGACGGATGGCAGAACCTAAACTTCCGAAATCAACCAAGCATGTGTTGCAGCGTGGATGCAGAGAATGAGGGGAACAATTGGCATGACAGGCCCAACAGACCCTTGCACGCCTCCGGCGCCGAAAGTGGTGTGTGCCGTGACGCAAGCGTGCATTCACACAGTGGCAGAGATGGAGAGATAAAGAGAGACAAACAGTCATGCAGTTCCAACGACTCGTCCACAAGCTTGAGTGTTCGTGCACGGTGTTCTGGGCACCCTAGTTTAGGGGAAGTCTTCGGAAGAAGTGACTTAGCATTTGCAGCCTCTTTGACTGCGCTCACCTGATCGGCAGGGTGTGCGCTTGGCATGCCCCTCCGAAGAGTTGAGAGATCCACAGTCTCTTCATGCGTACGCCGGCGAGCTGGCTCAGCCGGGTCAGCGAGCACAAAATATGCGAGTAAATATTTTTTTTTCATAAAGCTGACAAAGTATCAGGGGTGTGCAATATATGCGATGGTGAAATTATGGGAGTAAATATGGTATTTGAACAGTCTTGTGGCACTTTCCATGCACAAATGAATCCTTCATCCACTACACTTGGCATAAAAAATCGACTTTCAATTTAACAACTTTCTGAGGAACTGCTCCATTAAGCAACTTCAAAGTACTTAACTTCATCTGAATATAAATTTTGCAGTGTAGTAGTTCAACATTTCATTTAGTCGGAACTTGGTCCTGCATTTTTATAAATGAGCCGTGCTGTTCTTTAAAAAATAAAACTTACCTGAGTTGTTTTGCCAGATCCAGTCTCTCCAACCAAAACAAGAATTTGATGGTTGTTGAGGTACTGGAAGAACTTGTCTCGATATTCCCACACTGGGAGTGCTATCCGCTTACGGAATAGCTCATAGTAACGGTTTGAATAGGGAAGACCAGTCAGGGCATTCAACTGCTGCGACTGGTAAAAAAAAAAAAAAAAAAAAGAAGTCAAATCATTGCAAAAGTACCTTAATTGACAATATATGGCCAATATATGCACAAGAAACTGCAACACAAACTATGAAAAAAAAAGTTCTATGGTGCTAAAGCAGCGAGACATTTTGCTGACCAAATTATGCAATCATAACACATATGTCAAATTAGCCATAGCACTACCATAACAGCAAGATTTATTTTGTCAAATACTTAAATTACTAGTACATATAAAACCAAGATGTGAATACAAGCGTTCCAAAGAAAAAAACAAAATCCAATGCACGTCAAACATTCGCTGAATTAAGTAGGTAGTCAATTTCATGCAAAATTGCACATCAGAATGTGAGCCTAGTTTCCAATCAGAACACACCCCACCCTTTGAACCTGGTGAACTTATATAAAATGTTTGGAACACATTGTGGAAAGGAATAGAGTTCCGGGTATAAATACACCATACAACTATACTAGGAGTGGCGATGGCGTAGTGGTTAGAGCATCCGCCTCGCATGCAAGAAGTCCGTGGTTCAAATCCCGGTGCCGCGCAGTTCCCAACCGGATTAAAAAAAAAAAAAATCCGCGTGTTGATGGAACTGCATTAAGAGGCCTGGGGTGCGGCCTCACCGGTAACCACCGCCGGGAATGCACTTCGTCACCAAAGAAGGACTGGCCACCCTGGTGCAGTATCTGGCCACTACCTCCCACATGCATACGTCAATTAACTCACGGCCCTCAGTACCCAGCAGCTAGGTGCGAAGCAACTGACCACGATGGCGGATCTGCAACGCAGCAGAGGGTGCTAAGAATCTCTGGATCCGGACAGGCCGCCATTGGAAGCTGAACTTGGCAATGTTTAACGCTAGAACCTTATCTAGTGAGGGAAGTCTAGCTGTACTATTCGAGGAGCTAGAGGGTTTTAAATGGGATATAATAGGCCTCAGTGAGGTTAGGAGGACAGATGAGGCCTATACGGTGCTACAGAATGGGCACGTCCTTTGCTATCGGGGCTTGGCAGACAGAAGAGAACTGGGAGTGGGGTTCCTAATTCACAGAAACATAGCTGGCAACATAGAGGAATACTATAGCATTAATAAAAGGGTGGTAGGTATCGTAATTAAACTGAATAAGAGATACAAGATGAAGGTAGTACAGGCTTAAGCGCCTACATCCAGCCATGATGACGCTTCAGTTGAAAGCTTCTATGAAGACGTGGAATCGGCAATGAGTAAGGTAAAAACACAGTATACTATAGTGATGGGCGACTTTAATGCAAAGGTAGGGAAGAAGCAGGCTAGAGACCAGGCAGTAGGAGATTATGGCATCCGTACTAGAAACGCCAGAGGAGAGCTACTAGTAGAATTGGCAGAAGGTAATAATTTACGGATTTTGAATACCTTCTACCGAAAACGAGAAAACCGCAAGTGGACATGAAGGAGCCCTAATGGTGAAAATAAGAACTAAATAGACTTTATAATGAGAGCACACCCAGGAATCGTGCAGGATGTGGAAGTGGTTGGCAAGGTACGATGCAGTGACCATAGAATGGTACGGTCTCGAATTCGCCTAGACTTGAAGAAGGAATGACAGAAACTGATACGCAAGAAGCAAATCAATGAGCTAGCACAGAGAGGGAAAGTACAAGAATTCAGAGTGTCGCTGCAGAACAGGTACTTGGCTCTAAGTGAGGAAACCAACCTCAGCGTAGATACAATGAATGATAATCTGACGAGTATCATTACGGAGTGTGCAGTGGAAGTTGGAGGCAGGGTAGTTAGACAGGACACTGGCAAGCTTTCCCAGGAAACGAAGAACCTAATTATCTAAGCGTCAAATCATGAAAGTGTCAAGTACAAGAGACAAAATAGAACTGCCAGAGCTTTCAAAGTTGATTAATAGACGTAAGGTATGCGATGTAAGAAGGTATAACATGGAGAGAATTGAACACGCTCTGAAAAACGGAGGAAGCGTCAAAGCAGTGAAGAGGAAACTTGGGATAGGCAAAAGTCGGATGTATGCACTAAGGGACAAAGAAGGCAAAATAACTACCAATATGGATAGGATAGTTAAAATAGCGGAAGAGTTTTACAGAGATCTGTACAGTAGCCGAGACAACCATGACCTTAATACTATAAGAACTAGCAGTAACCCAGATGACACCCCACCAGTAATGATAGAAAAAGTCAGAAAAGCTTTGGAGAGCATGCAAAGAGGCAAAGCTGCTGGTGAGGATCAGGTAACATCAGATCTGCTGAAAGATGGAGGACAGATTGTGTTAGAAAAACTAGCCACCCTATTTACGAGGTGTATCCTGACGGGAAGAGTACCAGAGTCTTGGAAGAACGCTAACATCATCTTAATACATAAGAAAGGAGATGACAAGGACTTGAAGAATTACAGGCCGATCAGCTTGCTCTCTGTAGTATACAAGCTATTTACAAAGGTAATTGCTAACAGAATAAAGAAAACATTAGAATTCAATCAACCAAAGGAACAAGCAGGATTTCGAACAGGCTACTCAACAATTGACCACATTCATACTATCAATCAGGTAATAGAGAAATGCTCAGAGTATAACCAACCACTATACATAGAATCAATCAGGTAATAGAGAAATGCTCAGAGTATAACCAACCACTATACATAGCCTTTATAGATTACAAGAAGGCGTTTGATTCAGTAGAAATATCAGCCGTCATGCAGACACTGCGGAATCAGGGCATAGATGAAGTATATATAAACATTCTGGAAGAAATCTACAGGGGATCAACTGCTACCATAGTGCTTCATAAAGAAAGCAACAGAATACCAATCAAGAAGGGTGTAAGGCAGGGGGACATAATCTCCCCAATGCTATTTACCGCGTGCTTACAGGAGGTTTTCAGAAGCCTAGAATGGGAACAGTTAGGGATAAGAGTTAATGGAGAATACCTTAGTAACCTGCGCTTCGCCGATGACATTGCATTGCTGAGTAACTCAGGGGACGAATTGCAACTCATGATTACGGAGTTAGACAAGGAGAGCAGAAAGGTGGGTCTTAAAATCAATCTGCAGAAAACGAAAGTAATGTACAACAACCTCGGAAAGGAGCAGCGCTTCGATATAGGTAATAGTGCACTTGAAGTTGTAAAAGACTATGTCTACTTAGGGCAGGTAATAACCGCAGAGCCGAACCACGAGATTGAAGTAACTAGAAGAATAAGAATGGGGTGGAGCACATTCGGCAAGCACTCTCAAATTATGACAGGTAAATTGCCACTATCCCTCAAGAGGAAGGTATATAACAGCTGTATCTTGCCGGTACTTAGCTACGGGGCAGAAACCTGGAGACTTACAAAGAGGGTTCAGCTTAAATTGAGGACGACGCAGCGAGCAATGGAAAGAAAAATGGTAGGTGTAACCTTAAGAGACAAGAAGAGAGCAGAGTGAATTAGGGGACAAACGGGGGTTAAGGATATCATAGTTGAAATAAAGAAGAGGAAATGGACATGGGCCGGGCATGTAGCGCGTAGACAGGATAACCGCTGGTCATTAGGCGTAACTAACTGGATTCCCAGAGAAGGGAAGCGGGTTAGGCGGAGACAGAAGGTTAGGTGGGCAGACGAGATTAAGAAGTTTGCGGGTATAAATTGGCAGCAGCAAGCACAGGACCGGGTTAACTGGCGGAACATGGGAGAGGCCTTAGTCCTGCAGTGGACGTAGTCAGGCTGATGATGATGATGATGATGACAACTATACTGAACAGTTCATGGCTGCACACCAGCACAATTCGAACCAATATATGGTTTGAGCAGTTGGCAGGTCATTAAAACATTGCCAAACCACCACTGCCTCCTTGGTTGGCACCCCATAAAAATGTGCAGACACTAAATAAGTTGCAAGGTAAATGAAAGTTTCATTGTTTATCACGTGGTTCTTGGATGATGTGGTTTTTACCCCTCACTCCTGGACTCAGCCACCAGCCGAACTTGATCCAGAGTTGCTAGTTGTCCCCCTAGGTCCGAAATGGGTATGTTTAGCTCCTACGAATTATGTGTTAGATGGTTACTACTATGCTAACCTAATTTATATTTGAGCACTCGGGGTTCTCTGTTGCTTTTCCATGATATGTGGCAGTGTGGAGCTGCCCCCTCCAATGGCACATGTTTGGATACATGGCTAGTAATATTCTAAGGCAGCTGTCTCAAAACATGCAACCTGCAAGTGGCATGTGGCCCGGGGGACTCGCTTGTGCCCTGTGACCTTTACATGACTAGCTTCGACCCATTTTTTTAAAGACGATAGTCTTTCTTAGGGACCTTCGACGAAAAAATTTTGGTGTGTCTGACTGTCTGTACATTTGCCTGTTTGTCCGCCCTAACGATACCTTAAATGGCATTAAACAGCCAACCCCATTTGCAGTGCCCACCAATATTGCTCAATGTTTAGCTTTCATAGTTGTGAGATTGTCAATTAAAAAGCAATTATTGCACATATCTGAGGCCCCACAACAACGATTCGATGTTTTCTATGTCTGCCTTCATACTAGAAGAGGCAAACACAAGTAACTCTAAGGTGTGTAGAGTTTAATCGTGCTGCGCTGACAGTGCAACGCGATGCTCAAAAAAGTGTTTCCAACGCTTTGCTACGACGTCACGGTGTTGGCACCTGGCCGTCGCTTTGCGTTCTACACCTTATCACCTGCGAGACTGGCGGGCATCTTTCTCCACGGGCTGCACGCCTTCGTTTTCGAAGATAACTACCAGATGGCACTTGTGTCTAACGTACCTAGATGCGCTCGTTCCCCTCCGCCACACGCTGGAGGCACTCTAACGCAGTGCCTGCAGAATACCATTCACCGATTTTCTTGCACAGAACATCAAATAAACGTTTTGTTCACTCTCTCCAGACGCGAGATTATCGTCTTTCGACGACATTTACAGTGTAACATGTAGATTCGGGCCAATTTTTTTTCAAGTCTTCTTCATAGACTATCCATGAGCCGCACAG